CACTGGCAAAATTCACCATGTGGTGGTTCTGCCTGTCCTTTGGCTTATTGGTATACTTCTGAGAAATGAAGTTTCAGCATTTCTAAAATGCTTTTTAAAAATCCAGATATTTTGCCTTGATAGGCAGAATGATTAACTTTCACATTATTTAAGAGTGGACCCTGAGGGCCCAGTATCCCCTCCGGAGCTGCCCTGCTTTACCTGGCCCTGTGTTCACATTCTGTCCCACAGCCTCTTCTGTTCTTTCCTCCTCCTCAATCCTGCCCACCCCTTTTTATTTTTAATAAAATATAGATTCTATAGAACATCTTTTTCACTCAAAATTTGTTTCTTGCCTTTTAGTAGGGCTCGGGGGTATTTTTTATAATAAAGTTAATCAAGACAGGTAACTTCAGTTTTAAATTCCTAATGCAGACATCTTTACTCATATCTCCTGTGGCTTTTAAAGTGTTACATAGTTAATAACCCTAAAATTATCAAAATACTTCACCACTATTATTCTAGAACCTTTACAAAGTATCTGGAAAAATTATTTTAATTAGCATAAATAATGAGCTTGGACTAAATTGGAATAGTGGTCTGTAGCTAGCATATCTGAGAACGAGACATGTTGAGTAGGCTCGTAGAATTTTGCTTTTAGGTAGAGATCTATTAGAAAAACTTGGAATGGACTTTAAATGAAATTTGTAGTTTAAAACTTGAATAATTATGAGAATGCATTTTAATTCCTTCCGTACTTCTTGAATCCAAAAGACAGCCTTAGCATTGTGGACTCTGTCTTGTGTTTTAGCCCACACACGTGGATGCCTCCTGAGGTCTGAAATGCTGTCCAGTGGAGTGATGATGTGTTGCTCTCAGTAGCTCTGTAGAGGCATGGTGACAGGCTTGGAGAGCTCCCGTTTTTACAAACCTCTACCACAAATGTAGCATATTCAAGTACTAACTAACTCTTGCATGTTTAGGAGAGGCAAAGTAAGAGCTACTGAACAATACTCATGACCGTCACTGTTTACTGCTGAGATCTTGGCCCTCAAGTTAATGCCAGTAGACACTGTGAAGCATGATTGTTTAAGTTAGATATTTGACTTAAATAATGATGGGTATAATAGCCATGTACAGTGAAACAAGAAAACATATGAAGTGTTGGGTCCGAGAGGAGACAGATTAATTTTTTGTTTGAAGTCATGTGATACAAAAGAAAATGTGTAGAAGGGTGTACAGTACACCAGATGCTGAGCAGTTTTGCATTTTAGTAATGGGTTGTGAATATTTTTAATCTGCTTCTCTTTATAATGTTATATATGTGGTATGGATTTGATGTGGATCTGATGTTTCTGGGGATGCTGATTTTTTTTCTGACTGGTTTTATCAGTGTACAAGTAGGAGAGATAGAGAATGGACAGAACCCTTCATCAGTGCTGGACTTGGTTCTGTGCAGGCGAAGTGAAGAGTAGAAGCCCTTTTCAAATTGTGCTTTTGTAAAATTGTGTCACCAATAGAAATATTTTCAGTCGTCTTCATTTTCCTTTTGCACACATTTTTTTTCAAAGTCATTTATTCACTAGCTTGACCAGTGTGACCAAATGGCTATCGTAGAAAATATAATCAGAAGGGGAAAAATAGACCCTCTATAATTACAGTGGTACCTTGATTCCAAAACTGAGATTGGGAATGGCCCTGAAAACCATTAAAAAGCTTGTTTTAGAAAAGTTAAGTGTGTTTCTCTTCAGCTATGCCCTTTGTAGCACCCCCACACATGTGCGCACACAGTGCAGAGCAAGCATTTCAGGGATTTATCCCGTGGTCTGAAGGACTGCAGAATCCAGAACTTTTCCATTGTTTCTGTTGGAAGAAAAGCCTAGAGTCCTCTTTTAGTACCATGAGCACCTTAAAACTAGACTCTTACTTTTTTAATTTGCCTCCAGGATTAGAAAGCTCTTGATGAGTTTAACTGCAGAAAATGATTTCTAATTATACCAAAGGACCTTAGCAGAATGTTTACTATCAGGTAACTTTCAAAATTATTTTAAGTGAAAAAGAAATCTGTAAAAAGTGCATGGCCTGTTACTCTCATAAAATCCCCCATCACAGCACCTTAAAATTTCACACCAGTGGGCATGGCCCTCGTGCCCTGTCTTCCCTTTGATATCCCCCTTGCTTCTGGGACAGCCACCTCTGACTGTCCCCTCCCCTGCTGTGACACTGTTGGCTTTTAAGGCTGCCTCTGGTCATAGTGCTGGAGGCGCTAGTCTTACTCAGTCCTGCTGCCTCTTTTTTCTGCTTCTCAGTTTGATTTTTGGTAACTTGTGGAGTACCTGTTGTAAAGCATCGTAGATATTAAAATAAATTTAATATCTACATTGTAGATATTAAAATAGACTTATTCCCTTGTGGAAAGCCCTGGTTTTAAATACCAGTGCCCATCTTTTCTCCTCTCTGACATCAGACCAGTTTCAATACATCAGACTACCACCAAGTACAAAACAACTGAGGTCTAATGCATGCCTGCTCTTTTCTTGCTTTTATCATCTGGCCATTTTTTTAAAGGGCAGCTTTGCTATTATCCATCAACTCTCTTTCCTTACTAACATCTATTAGAGATTTTAGCTTTATAAAAACCTCATGAAAGAGTCATTTAACAGACGCTTGGTGCTTTTCTCACAGTTAGACCTTTTCATCTTGCTTTTGGAATTCACACTTGTCTTTGACTCAAGTGTGCAGAGTGCTGATACTGTTCCTTCGCTGGCATACCATCAAGAAAAAGCATCTTTCCTCTTGAGAAATGGAAAGGTATATGATGAACTTTTATACTTCATTGAATTTCTCACAGTTGTATATATGAGTTGCACATGATATTTTTACATCTTTTTAAAGAGATGTAAAACCTAGAAAGTGCACTGAGAAGCATAAGGGCACAGAGGGTAGCATGTTGAGTTGGATGGGAATTTGAAGTCTGTTTTGCTGCTGACTTGTTTTGAGATTTGAGGCCATTCATGAAATGAAATGAAGCCCAGAGGGGTGTACTTGTGAAATTAGGGAAGTTGAGTAGGGTGATCAAGGCCCTACTGCTCCAGTCTTCTGGTTGTTCTTTCTTTCTTTTTATTTTTGCAGTACTGGGGGTTGATCATAGCTCCTGTGCGTGCTGGTCAAGTTACCAGTTCATCCTCCTTTCCCACGTCTGCCTGTTCCCTGAGCTCCTGTGTTTTCTCTTTGCTTTGTGCCTTTGTTGATGCCTTTGTTCAACCTAGTGTGAAAGCCTTGCACTGGCCTTAAGATTTCTCATGGGAGGGGGGCCTTGTTCAGGGGCTAAAAATAGAAAGGGGTGCAAAAGGAGATTCTCGAGAGCCATAGTACAGGGCTGCGAGAAGAATTGTAGGAATGACAGATCCATCACACCATCACCTGAGAAGAGGAAACTGGGCAAAGGAAGGTGAAAAACAATACTGGATTTGTACTTAGGAGATCAGTGGAAACTCGGGAAAGTGGTGTTCCGTTGGAGTAGTAAGGAGGAAATTCAGTTGCAGAAAGGGCCATCTGACAGCCCGTCCTTCAGAAAGTTGGTGTGGAGCTATTCAGGGTCACCCATATCTTTGGTGACCTTTCATGGCATAATTGTGGAACTGCAGCCTGCAGGCTGCTGTTTTGAAATCAACTGTATATCTAAGAAGGTGAGCACCTCAAATGAAGATTAGGCAGCCCTGCCTTCTGTGCTTGGTATTTAATTGATTTTATACAGTGGACTCTTAACTTATGGATTCAATCAGTTCCTGAGGGCTGGTTGTAACTCAAGTTGGTTATAAGTCACCACAGCTGAGATCTGGATGTTTTCCTGGGTACATGTATATACAACAAGAGATGGATGAATCTTCCATTAACTTAACCCAAGTTGTTCATATGTTAGGCCAATTGTAACTTGAGGGTCCTGTAGTTGGAGTAGCTCCATATCAAGGAGGCACCACATGGAGAGTTTCATATAGTTTTAAGTTTATTCTCTTGAATCACAGAGTACACAGGCCTTCATTGTTGTCAGGAATTTTTAATGTAACTTGAGCAAACCTAGAATTTTGCATTCTCTTTGTTGCCTGAACATTTTTAACCAAAACATTATTCTTCAGAATTTTCTGGTATTTGTCTAGTTTATTAGAATAGTAGAACATATTCCAGACCTAGTTTAAGTTATTCATGGGCTGCTTTAGGCAATTTTGATTTTGCAACTTATACCCCAAACACCAGCGGTATAATGCTGCCCATTGTCTAAGAAAGTAGTCAGTATGGCTGCCCAGTGTCTCTTTTGCAGCTATTTCACTAGAAAGTCATTAATATTGTTTGGTGATGAGTCATTCATGGTTCAGATCAGGGTCTATGCCATTAACCAATAACTTGTTTCTGGTATAAGACAAAATCATAATGGAAAATGGTACATTCCAATTTGATTGTTATTCTACTATAAATGCAGTGGACATCTTTATGTAATTCATTTAATTTTGCAATTAAAATAGTGGATATAAAGTGTAAAGAATAAAGGACGCTTATTAGGCCATTATAATCTTTTTTTTTCTCATTGAGTTTATTGGTACATTTTAGGTATACAGCACAGTTACATTCATCCTTGGGATGAATGTACCTTTACATGACAGGTCTTGGTTCTCATTTTTTCCCTTTGTCCCTGCCCTCCCTTCACCCCCTTCTCCCCTCCCCATTTACAAACACTTTATTTCCATTTTTTCATTTTCTCCTATTTTTTTCTTTTCCCTTATTACCTTTCCTCTGTCCTTCCCACTTTCCCTACACCTTTAGCCCTTTTCTTCTTATTTCACATTGTCAATTATCTCATTAGGATCTTATGTACTATTATAGTTTATTCACACCAGAGAAACTACTCAGTATTTACACATGTGTAACTTACTTATTTCACGTTAGGAGTATATCCTCAATATGTATCCATTTTCCTATGAATGAAACTAATTTCTCATTCGTAGGCCATTTTAGTCTTAAAGAGTTGTAGGAGACAGCACTGTTAGTGTTACCCTTGAGTTTTAGTTCTGGCTCCGTAGTTAATGTAGTATTGTGACCCTGGGCGGATAACTCCTATGTATCTCTGGACCTTGAGTGTCTCCTCTGTAAAAGGAGAGCCTCCACTGGGACTCCAGGTCTTCTAGCAGAACTAAACAGCATGGCCTGGGACAGGCCCAGAGTGAGTATGCTACACTGCCCCTAACTTTGGTAACTAACTACACTGTTAGAGATGAGCTTGTTTTGTACGTGAGAGCCTTAGTGCAGTAGATAACTGTTGTTTTCCTTCTGTTTCACCTGCTTCTCTTCATGTTTGTGTGTATATTTCTTCACCTTCTAGTTATAAAGCTTTGTCCTGTCCTTCCTACTTTTCTTCATGGTCATTTCCATTTCACTTTGCTGTGTTTCATTCCTGTATCTTTCTTGTCTAGACCACGTGGAGCAGCCAGCTGGCAGTAGCGCCACGTAGGACCCTACAGGAACTCAATGGTAAGTGCACTCGTGTACTTGCCAGGCACCCAGCTGTCCCTCTTGTCTTGCAGACAAAAGCTGGGCAAGCACCTTACCCCCTTGAAAGTCCCAATGGGTTTTTCCCCCCTTTTAGTTTGATGGTGTATAGGATGGAAATCAAGCATAGGAAAGAACTACTGATTTAAGAGCATGTAGCAAGTTCCTGTGCCTGCCCTTGAGACACCAGGCACATCTGTGAGCAGGACCCCTGGTTTTAACTGTTGGTTCTGTCACAGGCTGATTTATGCCTCTGTGGCCCCAGCCTAAAATTTCTCCCACAAACTAGCAAGTAGGACAGGTAATTTTGATAAGCCTTTCATCTCCCATCTAAGGCCCTAGTAGGAAGTCCTTGAAAATGGTTCTGAATAAGATTGAGGAAATTATTTGATGTGTCAGATAATTTCAGTTCCATAAATGAATCTATCATTAAGATTTATACTAGAGATATATTATTGGTCACTAAGTTATTTTAGTGACAAATCTAATTGTTCCATTCCTTTATTTTTATTAGTGTTATCCAAGTAATTATTGTCATTTTTAATAAACACATAGTCTAGAGAATATCCCGTATGTCTTTAGTGACTCAGAAACTCCATACATTGGTGTAGCCCACTGGAAAGCTTCTTTGTTCCCCCAGGTTGGTGCCTGTCAACAGTAGAGAGTGCCCTAATGACATCTAGTCAGTAAAGCCCATGGGTGCTGCAAAATACCCTCCAGTACCTCGACAGATGCCCACAGCAGAGAATTACCAGACTTTAAATGCCATCGTGTGTAGTGGAAACTTTCCTAGCTGTCTGACAGCATGCTCATTAGTCCTCTGAATTGGCTTGGGTATAGGAGCTGTTCCTATTGCAAGTGTCCTTTCTTCCCAGTGGGTTGTATTTCAGTGGTCACGTCTTTTAAAGCAGACACCTGAGGACACAAAAAGAATTTCGTGTTGATTAGGTTTGGGGAGTCCAAAAATGGACATTTGATATTTTTTAGTCAGGGAATAAAAATACAACTTTTACCTTTTAGATAGCTTTATGATTACATTTTGAGTACATTGTAATGAACAATTATATTAAAATTGTGTTTTGTTTTATTATAATAAAAGTCTAGAAATCTTATTTGTTATTCACATACAAACCAGTGTGCTTTGTGTTTTCCTTTGACTTGCTCACTGGCTTTGCGCAGCACTTGGAGTCATGATTATAAGACTTAAGCAGAGAGGCCAGGTTTAGGCTATACTTCTCCATTATTTACACACGTATGAAGTAGAAAATAAGTGGTCACTAAGCAGAGTTCGCATCCCTTGGCTCTCTTGGGTGCATGAGGTAGTACAGATATAAAATTTTTATGGTTTTAATTCAGGGAAAAACATCTGTTGAGTCTTTAACTGTTTTGTTTGTTTTTTGGTTTTGGGTTTGGGGGGGGGGGGGGCTGGTAATGGGGCTTGAATCCAGGGCCTTCCCACTGAACTACATCTCTGGCCCTTTGTATTTTTCACTTTGAGACAAGGCCTCACTAAGTGGTCCACACTGAGTTCAGATTTGTGATTCTCCTGCTTGAGCTTCCCAGAGTACTGGGAGTAGTAGTGTGTATTGTCCTGTGAGCCTCTCTCAACTCAGTTGGCTGAATCTAACTTTTGAGGGCAGTGTCAAGGGCCTTCCACATGATGAGGAAAGAAGCCGTGGGTTTCGACAGGTTGCAGCTTTAGTATCAGGGTCAGGTCCTGTTCTGCAGGTAGCTGGTCATTTTAGTCCCATTTCTGCGGAACATGTATTTTGTCCAGTATCTGTAATCTGATGCCAACTGAGGAAGGGCATATGTCATACTGGGTATAAGAGAACTGACTAAAGGAGAGAACCCAATTATGCAACTGAATCCCTCAAGAGGCCTTGTCATCGTCAGCTGTAGGATAAATGGTGTTAGCTCGACTGAGGGAGACAGAATCTTGAGCGTCTACCCCTGTGGAAAGATGTCTGTGTTTGTGCCGCTTACAGAAGGGATTGATTTACAGTAGGCCCTAGACTTCACACCAGGATGTGGCTCCTGTAAAGTACGTGCTTGTGTCCCAAGCTCCGTCCTAGCTAGTATGGAAATAAATGTATGGGCACATTAACAGCAATTTGAGTGAACTGTTGCATACTGTGGTCGATAGATGTATCTGTTTTCTTACTGACTGAAGAATTAAGCCCTTAACATAGTATTTTAGAATTTCCTTTTTAAGACTAACAAGCTAAATGACTGATAATTAGTATTTCATGGCTTATTTCTTCCTTGTTACATCTCTTAAATTTTTGTCAAAACCAAGTGGTATTTTTTTAGAGTCAGCACTTGCTTTGTGTTGTAATTTATTTCTGTACTTTTAATGATCTATTCAATGGTGCTCTTTTGTTGCTGACCTCTCTTTCATCTAGGGCCTATATTTTATCTGATTATAGTTCTCTGTGGTGATTCTCTATCATAGAGAACAGAATTTTCATGTGTTCCAGAAGCTGAGTAGTTTCTCATTTGCAGTTTTACTAATTCTGAGATGCACCTGGCAGGGAGCTTGTTCCAGAAGAGACAGGGCAGCCCCAGGGGCTTTGGGGCTTCCTGTGGCGGGGGAGCAGTGTGCTGAGATGTTCATGGGCACCTGCCTGCATCTGAATACCAGAAAATATTAACTGCTAGGAAAAAGAAATTTGGAAATTAAAAACTGGAAAAGCAGGGCTAGTTCTAGGTTAGTCCTAAGAGGCCAGGCTTCTGAACCTACAGTCATACTTGGTGCTTCTTTTGAGTCCTGTGTCTTTATTGAGTGCCTTTAGGACTTAAGTTCATTGTTCAGATTCCCAGAGAGATACTGCATTTTAATCTTGCCATCTAAATTATGGGGTCACTTGGAGTGCAATTAGTATTTCCTGGATTTGGTCCCCCGAATTGTTAATGAAATATTGAACTGTGCTGGACTGAGAGCCACATCCCTCAGGGCCTCCTGAAGGCTGTGCTGGCTTACAGTGAATTATTCATAACTACTCCGCATTTGATATTTGAGCCATTGTGCATGTGGATCCATTGTAATTCAGCAGAATCTCTGCTTTTGTTGTTTTGCTTTGACAGGTAGAAATAATCAGAAGGGTCCAAATTGTACTACTATTCAGTATTCTTTTTCTTTAATCTACTTCTTTCAATAATTGCCTGCCCTATCATTTGTGTGGCATTAAACTTGGTGTTACTACTAATCTTTCTTTGTCTTTAATATTGTTAAACTTTTGAGAATATATTATCTGTTAATTTGATAGCTATTACAGCTACGAAGGAGACTAATGACTGAGGTTCTAAAAAGAATACCAGATTCATAGTTTACTTTTCTCTGGCATGACTTGAAAATATCCATATTTATCATTCCTTTTTTTCTGATATCCAAAGTGATAATTGCCTAGAAATTCACAGTTTGCTAGGTGGAGTTAATAATTGTCTCCTTCAAGAATTCAGAATGGTAATGAATGAATGTTGTGTTGCAGGAAAGAAAAAATCCCAGGAAAATAAAAACAAAGGAAACAAACTCCAAGACGCACAGCTGAGGACAAGTGAGCCAGATTCCACCCCTGCAAATATGAGAGATTCTGCAGAAGGTAAGCATGTGACTCTGGACTTGTGTGATTTGGGTATATATTACCAGTAAACTTTGTGTCTCCTTGTCTTGCCTTTCTGAGAATGGTCCAAGAATTACATAGGGGAAGTAGGGTGTTAAACAGCAAAAATGTTGAATTGAACTTTTCACATTCCAGCTTGCCTTTATTAAATTATTAAAGATGCCTCCTTGTTAAAAAATGAAATTACTCTCTTGTCTAAATAAAACATACTACATGATGGCATTTATAAAGAAAGTTCATAGCCATCAAAACAAATCTATAGTGGTAAAAAACAGACTGGGAGGGAAATGAGGAGGTCTCTAAAGATACTAACCATGTACCATTATTCTGTGTGGTGGTTACATGGAGATACTTACTTTGTAAAAATTTCATCTTGCTATATACTTTATGATTTACCCACTTTAACAAGTGGGTAATTCACACTTCAATAAAACATTGACTTATTTTTGGCTAGAATTTAAATTCTCATTTTATCTTTTTGTGTTTCTTGCTGAAAGATTTTCTTCTTACATTCTCTCTGAGGATTAATATTCTAGGCCTTTCCTGATGGAAGACTTTGTAGAAAGCAGGGGTTTGCAAGTTCACCAGAAAGACAGCTTGTTCTGTGATCTCTGTGGTTGAGCCACCATGTTGGAACTATTCGTGTAGAAAAGAGGGAGTGTGTCTTCATTTGTTATGGCCAGATTTATGTCAAGACCAGAGCTTGCTCAAGAGTTGTTCATAGTGAGGCAAACTGGCAAATTTCCGAATGCAGGCTTGTGACTCTGTCAAGAAACATTTGTAGAGGGGGCAGGGGTGTCAACAAAACATTTTAGGTGCCTTTTATAGCCATTTTATTAGCACTGTTTGTGATGATGACATTCATAAAGAATCATAGTTTTCTGTGCTGTTTTATGAAGCAAGAACAATGGAATTCATCGAGACTATCGTACAAATGACTCCAGGGTGGCCTGGGTGTCAACTGAGAAGTCAGTATGATTTAAGACTAAAGGAATTGATTGAAGGGAGAAGAGATGATCTTCCATTTTGGTCGCTAAGCCTTCCTTTGTGCTTTACACCAGTGAGGAATAAATACTTATTCTGTTGAGAGAAAAAAGAGATGAGATGAGTTCATTTCCAAGATCCTTGTCAAACTAAGTTCTGCTTCCTAATACCAAACACAAGCTTCTCTTTTTTGAAGAACACAAAAATTACTCAAGGACGTGATTACCTTTGGTAGCAAAAGAGAAAAATAAATCCTTTTTCAGTACATCGGGAGTTACCGTTTTCTGCTCTGCCATGCTTCCCTGTGAACCAGCTTACTGCTGCCTGCCCCCTTTTGCCTCTGATTCTGTACAGTGCTGTTGTGGGCCTCCCTGGGTGTTCTGCATTGTCCTCAGCAGCTGGACTATAAAAGTGCAGATTTCTGCTTAAAACTTAGGAGGCCCCACTGTGTATGGATGAACTTTGGCGTGGGCCTTACTAATTGATGAAGTTACACACTTTTGGGTTCATAGTCACTTTGGCCAGTTTCAAATCTGAGATGGTTCACAAGTCACAGGAAAGACTTCATTCTCTGCATGGCATGTATTGTGACAGGAAATGCTTAAGAAAGAAATTTCTGAGCTTTGCAGGTAAATTTTCTGCTGCCTCATTTTTGACTTAGTGGGTCTTTGTTGAAAATTTGAAAAGAGCCCCTGATTTGAAATGCATTACTACAGTTGAATAACTGATATCCTATCTTGTGGAAGCCTCATGGAATTGATGAAATCTGTCTAGGGGATAAAGCTGGTTTCCATTTAGAAGTAGGAGCCTTGTTGCCAGTAAATGTGGTACCACATGGGAAAGCAGGGCCAGTGTTACATTGCAAGAGGACCAGCACCAGGTATTGAGCTTTGTGTTCACCATGTGTATGTCAGGCTCTCCGCACTGGGGCTTCAGTCCTTCCTTCTCCTCATACCCGGAATGTTCCCATGTCTGTTAGCAACCTTTTGTGTCCTCACAGTTGGGACACTCCTGCCTGCCTCTCATGCTTCTTTTCATTCCCATCTTTTGGCCCATCTGGCCCATCCTAACAACTCGGGTATCAGTCTTGGTCTCCACATCCAGCTCTGTCCTTCTTCTAGTCCCTACAGCCAAATCTCACATGTGGGACTCTCCTGCCATTTCCCAACACCTTAATCAATGTCCAGTGCATCTAGACACGTCCACACTCACAATGTCCTGTGCGTTTGATTTCTCCCTGTAAGCTTCTCTTCTGTCACTGATTGGTGTACTGTTCAGGTTCAGCTTGCCTATAAAGCCTTCTGTCATTAATCCAGCCCAGTCAGATGCACCTCCGGGTGTCTCTACACTACACACACTTTATAGGATAGTTGCCTGCAGCTTTGGTTAAAATTTTATTGTACTGTATGCTTATAATTTACCCTCATGGATACAGATAAGTTAAAAGTGAGAGAAGGATAGATTTCATTCATCTCGTTTATCTAGTGATGCTTATAGTGTGTGCATGGTACAAATCTGTCAGATGATTGGGGAAATACATCATTCCGTTCTTGTGGTTTGTTTTTGTTTTTTGGTTTGTTTTGTTTTTGTTGTTGTCGCTGTTGTTGTTGTTTTTTGGTACCAGAGATCAAACTCTGGTCCTTGAGCTTGCAAGGCAGGCGGTGGAACCACTGAGCTAAATCCCCGGCCCACTTCATTTCCTTCTCTCCACGTTTCCTTCCAAATTCTGACCCATTGTATCTTTGCCTCTACAGAGAACCCTGAAAGAGTTGCTCCCATTCTCTCTCTCTCTGTTCCTTCCATTCTTTTATGAACTCCATTAAGCATTCTCACCATTGCACTATAGCTGTTGTCATGGTCACTGGCCCTCCTTATAAATGGAGCTCCCCATTCTTAGTTTTCATCTTACCCAGCCCGGACTAGACTCTGCTGATCAGTGTCTCTTTGAAACAGGTTACTTGGCCTGAGGGCCACACTCCTGCTCTCCACACACCTCATTGGCCTTTGTTTACTTTCTCAGTACTGGAGTCACTGGGATGAAGTGCCTTGTTCTACCTTCTTCACCCTGAGATCTTGGACATTGCTAGGCTTAGCCTTTCTGTTGAACTCTAGATTCATAAGAAACTATGTACTTAAAATCTTTATTTGGACATCTGCATTGTGTACATTAAACTTCACGTCTAAAGTAAACTCTTGATTTCCCTCACAATGTTTGCACACAACCAAACCTGCTCCTCCTACACCCTTATGATTTAGTAAACAGGGTTATGGCCCGATTGTGCAGTCTTTCTTAGCTCCTTTCTGTAATCACAGCTACTCCACAGGTAGTTTTTCAGCTTTATTTCCAAAATATGTATCCAGAGTCTCTTCCTATCTGCTCTCCCAGCCCCACCACCTGTGTCACTATCCTGCCTTCTGGAGCATGTAACAGGCTCCTCTTGTCCGCCTGTCTGCCTGTCTTTCTTGTCCACCTAGAGTTTTCCATCTTCCTAGTAGCAACTGTGATTCTCTTGGATACAAATTAAATTATATCACTTCTCTGTTAGAACCTTGTGGTAGCTCACTGTTGACTCAATAAAGGCCAGCAGTCCATATGGTCTCTGGTTACCTCTCTGGTCTTATCTTTGCCCTCTTTCCTTGTCCTCCGAACCCTCCCCCAGTCTACTGGCTTCCTTGTACATTCCATGAATGTCTAGCATGGTCTTGACTACGAACTTACGTATTTGCTATTCAGAGGACTTCTGTCCGTTAGATATTTTGCCTAACTTTCACCTTTCTACGGAGTCCTTTCTCCCATCTACACAAGACTGAGCTGGACATTTCTTTGAGTGAGATAGATACTAAGTTAATAATTTGATTTTTTTCTTAGTCTCTTTGACCTGAAAAACTTCTGATTACATGATTCTAGAAAGTGTTTTAGTTTCTCAGAACATAGTTTCAAAGGAGAGTGGTCCCCTATTCAAGATGCACAATCAAGAATTTTAACTTGGCAATAAATTTAGCAACTGCTTTGTTTCAGTTTAGAATCATGAAAAATAGGAATTCACAGGTAGTCCCTGAAGTTCAGCATCAGTGATTCCTGCATAGTTGTAAGCACATCTTTTTTTTTTAATGAATACATATTTGTTACACAGATTAGTGGGTTTTATTTTGGCAGGTTTATACATGCACATAACATAATTTAATGATTTTTGCCCCCAACCCCTTCTCCCCACCCTCCCCAGTAGTTGCACTTTTGGGGGAGGATGATTTCAATGCATGTGATATATTTTGACCATATTCACCCCCAGGCGCTACAGTTTCTTAAAGCTGTAGATATATATGTTTAAATACCAAGAAGGCTCTAAGTGCAGTGTGGGAGTTCTTGTCTTTTGTGGGTCCAAAATGCTGCCTGGTAAAAAGCAAGTACTCTGTAAATATTTGTTGAATGAATGAATGAACAAGCAAACAAAAGAAAGAATAGAATTCATAGCCAGTTTAACTTACAAATGATCTGTATAAAGTAGAATTTATTTACTGTTAACTACAGCTATCACATGTTTTAGGTGGTAAGAGAAATATGTAGAATCATAGGAATTGACTGAAAAGGGCCTGGTTTTGACCTCACTTCTGTTTCTCTTCTTGTTCTTGTTCTTGTTCTTTCTAGGTCCTAAAGAAGAGGAAGAGAGGCCTTTGGCTGAAGCCCCCGAGCAGCTAAGTGTTCCACAGGAGGTGGTCAGCCAGGATGCACTTCCAGAACTGCTGATCCCTCCTCCTGCCTGCGAGCCCCAACCAGAGCCAGAAGGGAAACAGGTAGCCACAGATTGTGAAGCAAATGATCTGGAGGAAGAAGAGGAAGAAGAAGAGGAAGATGATGATGATGAGTTGGAAGAAGAAGGGGAGGAAGAAGCCAACATGCCCAATGAAAGTTCTGTGAAAGAGCCGGAAATACATTGCGACGAGAAGCCAGAGGATTTATTAGAAGAAACCAAAAGCATTTCAAATGAAACTCCTGAAGACTCTTCCGAAGTAACTCCAGTCATCCAAATCCCTGAAACTAAAGAGGAGGCCAATGGTGATGTATTTGAAACATTTATGTTTCCGTGTCAGCATTGTGAAAGGAAGTTTACCACCAAGCAGGGGCTGGAACGTCACATGCATATCCACATGTCTACAGTCAATCATGCTTTCAAATGCAAGTATTGTGGGAAAGCATTTGGCACACAGATTAACCGGAGACGGCATGAGCGTCGCCATGAAGCAGGGCTAAAGCGAAAACCCAGTGCAACAGTACAGCCATCTGAGGACCTAGCTGATAACAAAGGTTCTGGAGAAAATGTGACTCCTAAAAATGAATTGACTCCTCCGCATCTTGGACAGGACTACCTGATCTCAAACTCAGAGATACCTTCCCAAGAAACATCAAATCCTTCTGTTGTGGAAGAGAATGGGGAAGTGAAGGAACTTCACCCATGCAAATACTGTAAGAAGGTGTTTGGCACTCATACTAACATGAGACGGCATCAGCGTAGAGTTCATGAACGCCACCTGATTCCCAAAGGTGTCCGGCGGAAAGGTGGCCTCCTTGATGAGCCCCAGCCCTCTGCAGAGCAGGCCCAGCCCACCCCAAATGTCTATGTACCAAGCACAGAGCCAGAGGAGGAAGGGGAGGCAGATGATGTGTACATCATGGACATTTCTAGCAATATCTCTGAAAACTTAAATTATTACATTGATGGTAAAATTCAAACCAATACCACGACTAGTAACTGTGATGTGATTGAGATGGAGTCTAATTCAGCAGACTTGTATGGCATAAATTGTCTACTCACTCCAGTTACAGTGGAAATTACTCAGAGTATAAAGGCCACACCGGCCTCTGTAACAGATGACTTTTCTAAAGAGACTTCCAGCAGCACCAACTGTGAGTCCAAAAAACGGAGGACTGCAAGTCCACCTGTGCTCCCCAAAATTAAAGCTGAAACTGACTCTGACCCCTCTGCACCCTCTTGTTCCCTAAGCCTTCCTCTTAGCATATCAACAGCAGAGGCTGTGTCTTTCCATAAAGAGAAGAGTGTTTACCTGTCATCCAAGCTCAAACAGCTTCTTCAGACCCAGGACAAGCTGGCTCCTCCTGCAGGGATCTCAGCAGCTGAAGTCTCAAAGTTGGGTCCCGTGTGTGTGTCTGCACCTGCATCCATGTTAGCTGTGACCACCAGCAGGTTTAAGAGGCGGACCAGCTCTCCACCCAGTTCTCCACAGCACAGCCCTGCCCTGCGAGACTTCGGGAAGCCAAGCGATGGGAAAGCTGTGTGGTCAGACACGGTGCTCGCTCCCAAGAAACCCAAGTTAGAAAGTCACAGTGACTCACCTGCCTGGAGTTTGTCTGGGAGAGAGGAGAGAGATACTGGAAGCCCTCCTTGCTTTGATGAATACAAAATATCAAAAGACTGGGTGGCCAGTTCTACTTTTAGCAATGTGTGCAACCAACAACCACTGGATTTATCCAGTGGAGTGAAACAGAAGGCTGAAGGAACAGGCAAGGCTCTGGTCCAGTGGGAATCTGTATTAGATCTCAGTGTGCATAAAAAGCCTTGTAGTGACTCCGAAGGCAAGGAATTCAAAGAACATCTTTCAGCTCAGCCAACCTGTAGTGCTGTAAAGAAGAAGAAACCAACCACCTGCATGCTGCAAAAGGTCCTTCTCAATGAATATAATGGCATCGATTTACCTGTAGAAAGTACCCCTGATGTGACCAGAAGCCCAAGCCCTTGTAAATCTCTAGAAGCCCGGCCTGATTCTGACCTGGGTTCTGACTCTCACTTCTCTGCTCCTGCTGCTGAGTGCCCCCCTGCAGTGCACTCTTCGTCACCTCCCCTACAGACGCCCTCCCTGTCATCCAGTCAGCTGCCGCCTCTCTTGATCCCCACAGATCCACCATCCCCTCTGGCATGCCCCCCTGTGTTAACTGTTGCCACTCTGCCCCCTCCTCTCCTCCCCACAGTCCCTCTTCCTGCCCCGTCTGCCAGCGCTTCTCCTCACCGCGGTCCCTCTCCACTCTCAAGTGCGACTGCCCAGTCTCCACTTCCAATTCTGTCCCCGACCGTGTCGCCCTCGCCCTCGCCCTCGCCCTCTCCCGCTCCTCCTGTGGAGCTGCTCTTGCCTGCTGCTTCACCTGGGCCTCCAACGCTTTCTTCTTCCTCCTCCTCCTCCTCCTCCTCATTCTCATCCTCACCCTCATTGTCATCCCCTTCGCCACCCCCTCTCTCGGCAGTGTCATCTGTGGTGTCCTCTGGTGATAATCTGGAGGCTTCTCTCCCTGCAATAACTTTTAAACAGGAGGAACTAGAGAATGAAAGTCTGAAGCCCAGAGAGGAGCCCCAGTCTTCAGTCGAGCAGGATATTATTCAGGAAACATTCAGCAAAAACTTTGTCTGCAATGTCTGTGAATCACCTTTTCTTTCCATTAAAGACCTAACCAAACATTTATCTGTTCATGCTGAGGAATGGCCCTTCAAATGTGAATTTTGTGTGCAGCTTTTTAAGGATAAGTCTGATCTGTCAGAACATCGTTTTTTGCTTCATGGAGTTGGGAATATCTTTGTGTGTTCCATTTGTAAAAAAGAATTTGCTTTCTTGTGCAATTTGCAGCAACACCAGCGAGATCTGCACCCAGATGAGGTATGTACACACCATGAGTTTGAAAGTGGGACACTGAGGCCCCAGAACTTCACAGACCCCAGTAAGGCCCAGATGGAGCATATGCAGGGCTTGCCGGAAGATCCTTTGGAAACTTCCAAAAAAGAGGAAGAATTAAATGATTCCTCTGAAGAGCTTTACACCACCATAAAAATAATGGCTTCTGGAATAAAGACAAAAGATCCAGATGTTCGATTGGGTCTCAATCAGCATTACCCAAGCTTTAAACCACCTCCCTTTCAGTATCACCACCGCAACCCCATGGGTATCGGTGTGACAGCCACAAATTTCACCACCCACAATATTCCACAGACTTTCACTACTGCCATTCGCTGCACAAAATGTGGGAAAGGTGTTGACAACATGCCTGAGTTGCACAAACATATCCTGGCATGTGCTTCTGCGAGTGACAAAAAGAGGTATACCCCCAAGAAAAATCCAGTACCGTTGAAACAAACTGTGCAACCCAAAAACGGAGTGGTGGTGTTAGACAGCTCGGGGAAAAATGCCTTTAGACGTATGGGACAGCCCAAAAGACTGAACTTCAGTATTGAGCTCAGCAAAATGTCACCGAGTAAGCTCAAATTAAGTGCATTGAAGAAAAAAAATCAGCTTGTACAGAAAGCGATCCTTCAGAAAAACAAATCTGCAAAGCAGAAGGCTGACTTGAAAAGTGCTTCTGAGTCATCGTCTCACATCTGCCCTTACTGTAACCGAGAGTTCACTTACATTGGGAGCCTGAATAAACACGCTGCTTTTAGTTGTCCCAAAAAGCCCCTTTCTCCTTCCAAAAGAAAAACTCATTCAGCCAAGAGAGGTGGACACTTGTCACCTGCAGGTAGTGACAAAAACAGTAACAGCCACCGCCGACGAACGGCGGACGCGGAGATTAAGATGCAGAGTGGGCAAGCACCTTTGGGTAAGACCAGAGCTCGGAGCTCGGGCCCGGCCCAGGCCCCGCTGCCCTCCCCGTCCTTCAGGTCCAAGCAGAATGTCAAGTTTGCCACCTCAGTGAAGTCCAGAAAGCCAAGTTCCTCCTCTCTAAGGAACTCTAGTCCTATACGAATGGCCAAAATGACTTACGTGGAGGGGAAAAAACCCCAGGCTGTGGCCAAAAATCATTCTGCTCAGCTCTCAAGCAAAGCATCCCGGAGCCTACACGCAAGGGTACAGAAGAGCAAAGCTGTTTTACAAAGCAAGTCCACTTTGGCGAGTAAGAAAAGAACAGACCGGTTCAGTATACAATCTAGAGAGCGGAGTGGGGGCCCCATTACCCGAAGCCTTCAGCTGGCAGCTGCTGCGGACCCAAGTGAAAGCAGGAGAGAAGACAGCAGTGCGAAGCAGGAGCTGAAGGACTTCAGGTAAGCGCAGAGCTTGGGGTGGGCCAAGGACCATGGAGGAGACAGTAGGCTTGTCCGCAGGTGTTTTTGAGGGTTTTTGTTTTGTTTTGTTTTGTTTTTTTACTTTTGTTTTCCTGTAAAACTTTGACAAGCATTTAAAAGAAATAATAGCTTTGGGGTAAATTGTAGGTATGAAAGGGGTCATTGGTTTGGCAGCTATAGAAACAAACAACTAGCTTTTATTCTAGACTTGGGACTCAAAGTGGTGTCATTTTCTTTGATAGGGCCAGATATGAATTAGATTTGGAGCCATGGAAAAGCTCTCAAAAATGCCCCATGTGAAAAAATGTTGTTCTGTCGGACTTCCCTCATCTCTTGGGTAATAGCTCAGTGTCTTTGGTAGATGACTTTTAAGGTTAGGATAGACCACAGATTAGCAAACCACCTTACAATCTTGTTTAAACACAGCTATTAGTAAAAGGGGCTGCTTTTATTTTTATGCTTTCTTTCATTGCCACATTGGTCAAAACAAAGTGCCTTATTTCTTATAAATGCCTTGTATTCCTCCTCTGCCTCCCACCCTAGAGAGATCAGTGGACCAGGTTCCAGTGGGGAGGAAGAGCAGGGGAGGGTGCGTGGAACGGAACTACATAGAGGCAGCCTGTGAGGCTCTCTCAGGCGTGTGTGGTGCCCGGGGCCGGTCAGCCTCATGTATTGGTGCCTCTGCCCCAATAATGACAGGAGGATTTGTTACACTTGGTGACCTTTCTGAGTTGCCTAGCCTGACTTGCTGTGCATTCTCAGGATTCTTGTGTTTCCTGATACTGCCTATGGGCCAGTCTCATGACTATAAATACTTTTAAGTCTTGTCTTTTTAGAGTATGAAGAGTGACCTGGCTCCGGACTTTCATGTCTATGATTTTCAGTGCCTTAAATTTCTTTGCTGTTTAAGCAACCAGAATTAGGGATAACTATGGAACAACCACTGTTTGGAGAGGTCATGAGGACACAAACATGCCATTGTCACTATCACTGATGAGGTAGATTAAATTGTAGCTGAAGACAGGTGTAGAGCTGGGTGTAGTAGTGCATGCAGGTAATCCCAGCACTTGGAGGCTGAAGCAGAAGGATCACTGAGAGCTCAAGGCTAGCCTGGACTCCATTGCAAGACCCTGTCTCAAAAACCTGAGAGAAAAGAAAGAGGGAAAGATGTAGAGAATAGTATTAGCCAGGGTTGGTTTGAATGGCTTACTGTAGAATTACAGGATCATATTTTTTTTTAATTACTTTGTAAATATGTTAATTCAGTTGCTATAGATCTGATGAATGCATTGGCCCTGGCACATGCTTTGATAGCCTCCTGGGGTTAGCCTGGTGAGAATAAGCCCCTGCCTGCCCAGCAGCTCCTCATGTACCTGCATGTGCTCAGCCACTATCTGCAGGTTCCACGCCAGCAAGGCATCGTGGAGCTGTGTCCTTTCAAGTTGCAATGTCTTAGCCAGAATATGCAGCCGTTTTCACAAATTGTTCTAAAAAAATAACTCCCTGGTGGCTAATGCTTTAGAATGTTCTGTCTCATCATTTTTGCCTCTGATGTTATCTAAAAGAATCGCTTAGGGCTGGGGACTTAGCTCGGGGTTTAGGCGGGGTTCTGCCGCCTGCCTGGCAAGCTCCAGGACCTGAGTTCAATCCCTGGTACAAACAAAAACAAAGAATCGCTTAGTTTGTGCTCGACACCACTTATACAACTTAAGGGTTAAATTCATATGAAAAAAATTTTAGGTACTGTAAAGCAGAGCTGAATAACTATGCATTTAAGAAATTCATTTATATAACCTCTTACCCAGTACTTTCAAGAGTCCTTAAGCCTACCAAGTGCTGAAGTGCCTAAACAAGAATATCTCTCTTCTTTGCTCCAGTTAATTTTAATTATTTCCCTTTGTTTGATAGTTAACAGAGGGTTACAGTATTGGCATGAAATTTATCCCAAAAGGAAGCACAGGAGAATTGGATGAGAAAATGCTGGTATGGTCCAGCTGTTAGGTGGCAGCAGGCATCCCTGGTGGCTCTGTCTCCCTTTTGTGAGTTGCTGGAAATGTGCTGTGGACACATCTCTAGTGCCAGGGGTGTTCAGAAGGACGTGGACATTCCCCCATGAAGTGTTTTTGAGAATTACAAAAGAAAAGTAAATCCCACAGTCCAACAGGACCCCGTATTTTGACTTTGGACCCCGTATTTCATTTCATCCAAGTTCACTTTGGTCTTCTTAGTGCAAAGCCAGGGTTCCTAAACTGAGACCTAGGGCATGTGTTACCATCTTGCAAAGGCTGTTCCAGAGGGGGCCTTGTTCTCACGCGTGTTTGTTCTATTTTGTTGATTAGGAGTCACTTTACTTGCAGTTGGCTTCCCATTTCAGTGCATTTTTTCCTTGAGAATTTGTTCTTCAGAGATGATTTTATGAGAAATAACTTGCTTTCACTCTTGTTTCCAGTAGTTTGTACCCTTGCTTTCCTTGTTTAGTACTGAGGGTCTCGTCACAAAACTGACAGCATGTCTTTTTCCCACTTCTTTGCAACAAACAGTGTTTTGAGCTGGTCCCCAGCTCTCAGGTTTTTACATTTGAAATCTAGTTCAGGATTTCGGAAGTACTGCCATGAGGCTGTAGCAGAGGTTTCCTGTTTAACACTGAGAGCTCAGCAGTTGTCAGTTGGTCGCTTCTGGAGCACCAACCATTGATTGTGTCATTCGAGATGTGAAAAAGCCACGTGCCCCACAGAGTCCCTTTCTTAGGACAAAGCAGCAAGGGAATGCAGGCCCTGTGCTCAGCTTCTCCAGCTGTTAATGCTGTGATCCTCCCCAACTTAGCAGTCACGGTCTACCTGAGATTTCTTGGTGCTGATTTTAAATCTGGTATGAAGGCTCATTTCCATAGCTCCAGTGAGACCCTTGTAAGTCCCATGGTGTTTTCACATTTTTAATGCTCTTTGTAGAGCAGTTTTTTTGTTTTTATACTGAGCTCCCATTGCAGCCAGTCTGGAAAACTTAAACAGAGAAGCAGAATGAAATGCCAGACCAGGTTGTCCCATTTTCCATGAAGTGAGAAAGAATTGCTCTCCTGACCCTGTCTCAGTTCACACTCACAGAGGCCCCTGCTGGCAGTTCTCCCAGAGCCTGTCTTTGGGATAGGACACCTGAGTTCCTAAATAGCTTCAGAGTCATTTGTGTGTTGCTGTCTTTTTAACATTTGTCTTATGGTCTCCTCACCTCTTTCTTTAACATGGTCAATTCATGCGAGGTTATGTTATGTTGTCATTTATCTTCAGTTTTCTTATTTTCTAGGAACTTCCTGTAGAAAAGTCCCCCACACAAAACAAACCTTAATTGACTAAAAGATATTGCATGCTCAACTTAGGATAAGCACAACGGCAAAGGATACGAAATCTACCAAGCTTGCAAGACCAGTTGAAGCTGACTCAAAAGTTGTAACATACAGCTGATTGCCTGCAGGCTTCTTGTTGCCCTGGGTAGAGTCAGGCGTCCACTCCTTCGCTGGCGCCCACACCCATGCTGGGCTCCTGGGTGTTTGACATCCAGAGCAAAGGGCATTGTCAGTCCGGCTAGATGGCTGGCTCCTCGTCATGGGACTGGGAACTCAGATCTGAGTGTGGCCCTTATCTTTGGCACATAGCAGAGAAGGGAATGATTTGATCATAACCTTGCAAAGCAAGTTTCTCTGTTATGTCAGTGTATTGTAGATTTCAGGGAGACAGATTCAGATGCACTCATTTAAAAACATTTGGTCATACACCAGCTCTTGATGCTTTTCTTTTAAATGAACTACAGAAAGAGAGAGGCATTTGGCTCATCTCTTAACCCCTTCACCCCTTTTTCAATCACAAGCATATTGCCAGCATAATGGAGAGGAAACCAGATTGGGTATGGACTCTACTCCTCTTCCGGTGTCTTGTTTATTTATCCAAATGGATATTATCCTCTCAGATTATTATCTGGCACTAATTTGTAGCTATTATATTATGAGATGTGCAGGATGCATCCAGGCCTGTGTAGGTGTGTGTCTACGTGTAAGTATGAATGAATTTACTTACCAAGTTTTACACTTCAGTCTCTGATAGAGATTAAAACAAATCAGCCTCTTCCTATGTCTGAGAATCATTTCTCTGTGCATTTTATGCCTCCCTCTAATTAATGACTGAGTTGGTGGAAAATGGCTAGGTGTATATATATATGTATGTGTGTGTATATATATGTATGTGTGTGTATATACACACACACACACACATACACACAGTTTTTTGTTCTCAACTCTAAAAGTAATCTACCTCTTAAAATCTGTAGTTGAATACTTTGGTGAATTTGTGCCACTTTAACCCTTTCACTATCATTCCCATTTTTTTTTTTTACATTTTTGTTATGGGGACTTTATGTTGAAATACTGTATAAAGCATTTGTAGCGGTTTAAAAATAAAATATTTAAAATTATTTAAATTGTTTTGGACGCTTCAATTGTATTATATGTGATCTACGTTTTACTTTTTTGTTTGCATTGTTAATCTGGAGCGTGTTCCTGTATTGAAGTTTGCTGTTAGTTATTTCATTGCTTCTTGTTGGAGAGTGCTATAAAAGACTATTCTAATGAAATCATTAAAGTTTACAATTTGACATACAAAAGAGGTTGTTTGTTAATTTTAACCAATGTAGCCTTGAGAGGGAGCGAGAGACAGAGACTGAGTCACTGACAGACAAGATGGTGTTTGCTCCTGCTCCCTTTTTAGCATCAAGCACATCACTGGTTGGTCAGATGTATAAAAGATTTTTTTAAATGCTGTTATTGCAAACACAATAATTAGGGGAGAATCTGAATGGGACATTTTACCTAATTGTAACCAATAAAAATTTTCTGAACACTTGTGGAAGGACTGCATTTTGTATATAATTGGGAACCGAAGCGGGGAGATGAAAGGTGAAAATGGTGGAGGACAGTTGCTTGACGACATTGTGTT